GTTTAATAACGTAGTAAATCATTTAATAATATAATTTTTTATAAATATAATAATTAAGTATTCTGTTAGACTCAATGATTATCCTAATTTTATTTTAGATATTTTATATTTAAAATAAGATATTTATCCTATATTAGATTATGTTTATCTGTAGTTAGTTACACGAATTCAAACATGGAGCTTCAATAAGTTGTACTTATGCACAATTTACTTGTAATCTTAAATTTTAAGTATTATGCATCAATAAACAGTACTTTGTGCATAAAAAATGGTTTTTCAAAATCATATAAGACTATATTATAATATCGATTAAGATAAAAAAATATAATTAAATATTAAAATCAAGAGGTATCTCGCTGTATTATGCGAGTACCCTTATAATAATCTTAAAAATTATATGAATTTTGAATTTAAATAACCTTATGAAAATTTGGTGTAGAGGTTTTTTAAAAGACGATATTACCCCCGATCAAACGTAGCATTGGTTAGTAAAGTTAAAGCGACCCGATCCATAATAGAAGGTGAATTCATGATTAAAAAGTTAAAAGAAGCCTAATGAATTTTGTTGTTTGGAATGATTAAATTATTTGATAATTTTTTGAAATAAATAACTTTTTATTGTAGTCAATATCATCTCAATCGATATCATCTCAGAATATTTAGGGATTAAATCGAATCTGTATTCTTGAAAATCGGTTGGCGATGATATCGTTTAGGGAGGGCGATGAAATCGTTTAGGGTTTATGAAATCGAACTGGGTTAGGGATGAAATCGAATCCGTATTCTTCAAAATCTGTTGGCGATTAAATCGGATAAGAATGAAATCGTTTAGGGAAGGAATTAGGTTTCTATTGGCGATGAAAAAGGATAGGAATGAACAGAGGTTGTCTTTAAGAGTTTTAGCCAAATACTTTATAAGATAGTATAGATTTTTATAATTTTTGATAAATCTGATTTATAAGATAATATAAAATAATATATTTTAGATGGTCACATGAATATTCTTTGTATTAAAATACCTATTATCCTTATTACCACCCACCTCGTGGCATTTGTCCTTGATAGCTTTTCTTGCTCATATATTCATTTCAAGAGAACTGTAGGCAAAGAGTCCACCATGGCAGCCAAACCTGTCATCAAAGTTGTGGCCATCTGTGGATCTCTTCGGAAAGCTTCTTACCACCGTGGCCTCCTCCGAGCTGGTACGTACTCGTCTTCTTTTTAGCATCTTTTTGATGAAGTTGAAATTTGATGTGAATACTTGAATTAATTGCAGCAATGGAGTTGAGCGAGTCGATAGATGGATTATTGATCGAGTATGTCGACATATCGCCTCTACCGATGTTGAACACGGATCTGGAAGTCGACGGCAAATATCCACCTGCCGTTGAGGCTTTTCGTCGGAAAATTCTTCAATCAGATTGCTTCCTCTTCGCTTCTCCTGAATACAACTACTCCATCACCGGTAATTTTGATTTCTTCCTTCCAACTCCATCTCGCTTGCACAAATCAAATACTCCAAATATTCATATAAAATGGAAAGAGACGCACAGGAATTCGCAACTTCAGATTGTTGTGCGTTTCTATCATTTTGTAAATTACTTGATTCCTGCAACTGCAAACTGAATTTTTGTCCCCAATTTGTTTTCGCCGATATGGAAACAAAGGATTTTGAAATGTTTTGGATGATTACATCACTAGGATTACATTTTGTGTAATGTTGGTTATAATCGACGTTGACAAACCTAAACTTACAAGGAAGGGCCGATTGCTTGAGCAGTAATCAAGAATCCAAACGAATACCTTGTTGAAGAAAACGGAGAATTTGAATATGGAAACGGGTTTATTAAGAATTTAGACTAATACATGTTTGGAGGATCTGTTCATAGAAGTGTCAATTCAACTTTGGTATATGTTGCTATGAAGAAAATCACTCATTTTCTGATCATTTTTCATTTTTTGCATTCGGGGTCTATTTTGTTTTGTTGAGGATTGTTTGAAATATGTACTTAATCAGCTTGGGAGTTACGGTGAGAAGTGTAAGAAGAGATCTCCACCCTTGAATCAATGCTAATTGAATTTCAACACTGATGACGTGCACCGAGTTGCACCTGATGAATTCCGTTCTAAAGCATAATTCATGGGTGGGCATGAGATTACAAGGGATCAAGGGTTCAAATATGTTCTTACGCTTTTCATCGTAACTTCTCTTCTGACACTATCTTTTGCCTATTCATACAACCATTAAACAATGTTTGTTGGACTGGCGACTACACTAGTTTCTAATAGCATCTCATTTATAATAGCATCACACTCATCCTTTCATGCATTTTCAAATTTCGAATCTGGTACTTACTAACGTGTATCTATATGGCACTAGCGCTTCTAAAGAACGCAATAGATTGGGCATCGAGGCCACCAAACGTGTGGGCCAATAAGGCTGCTGCTATCCTAAGTGCCGGAGGATTGTTTGGTGGCGGGTTGGCCCAGTATCATCTTCGGCAAGTTGGAGTTTTTCTTGATCTTCATTTCATAAACAAGCCCGAGTTTTCATTGTACGCATTCCAACCTCCTGCAAAGTTTGACGATGGTGGCAATTTAACCGACCCTGAAGCTAAAAAGAGGTTAAAACTTGTTCTTCTATCTCTCAAGGCATTTACATTGAGGCTCCAACAAGATGATTGATGATGGATTTGTATGCCATTTGGCTTGTAAAAATGGGTATTTCTTGAAAATAAAATGCAATTCTAATTCCCCAATCTTCTAACTTGCATTTTTCTTGAAGAAGCAAGCTCTAAACATTAGAAAATATCATGTGAAAGATTTGCTTTTGTTGTTGGAATCAATATACACCATCCAAAACAATAAAGCTGTAAACTTTATCCAACAACAAGGCCGAATTCACTTATGGGTAGTTTACTGAACGCTGACTAAAAAGAATCATCACCTAACATATCTTATCGTATAACATTCTCGACAATCAAATTGGATTGTTACCCGGTAAGCACTAATAGGGTTAGAGTCTTGTATGTCACCGAGTAAAATTCTCGGTCTTTACTATCATACTGACCTGGTAAGATAAGTGATACCCAATAAACACTAATTACTCAATAAACAACCCCATAAAAAGATATTGATTTTAAAATGTTCCACCACCAATAGATAGTGTACATCCACGGGGACAGTGAAAACTCGACTTCATTCAACTAATGAAAAATGGAGGGAAAATATTCATAAAAGTGATTTGACACTGAAAAACACACTAATTCATCACAATTGTTTCTCTTTAATGTGTATTATGTATGCTCTAATGATAATCAAACTTCTCGTATATCATTTTTCAACTATTTATAGGGGGTGTATAAGATTGCATATAAAAATAACTTATTGACTTATTCCGGTGTGACATCGGTAATAAACATTTTTGAATGTTTGGATAAACAACTTATACCGGAGTCAAACCGGTAATAAAGAGTTTTTAAAAAAGTTAAATCATTCTAACTTATGATAAGTTGACAAGTACTTTTATAGAAAAGTATAAGTTGTTTCAAAATAAGCAATCCCAAACACCCCCACAATTATAAGCAAAAATTTTAGGTAGTGTGCCTATCAACTTTACTCGGTACCATTTTTTTTGGTTGGTACATATTGGTATTGTGTTTGTACCAACTTCTAAGTTACAATATAAAATGTTCAAACTTTAAAGTTCAATGCTTAAACAACAAAAGTTAGATATATAATTTATACTATATAAAGTATTTGAATAAAACTTTTAAAATCTATTTTTAATGCATCAAGTCCTGCTTAATTATGCATATTACTTAAAATTCAAGATTAAAAGTATATGTTGTATGAGGTACAACTTTTTTAAAACTATAGTATGAGTTCATATAACTAATTGATAAATATAAACAAATACATGATAAACAACTCATTTTAAATATAAAGAAATTTAAATATAATTAAGATAATTATT